AGCCAAGGAAAATTTCCCTCTGGGATAATAAAGTACTATCTTATCTTATCTTATCTTATCTTATATAATCTATTGATTTATCGATCTATTTTCATTTTCATTTTTATCTACTTACTTGTCTATCATCTATTTTTTATTTCTGTTTATTTATCTTTTACTTTGTTGCTGAGTAACAGATCAGCAAGAAGTGATGTTTGAGTCGAAAATGCACGCTCAATGAAGAGAGCAACGCATGGTCCTATGACCTTACGCAGCCTGCCAACGTCATAAAACTTGACCGAGATCGAACAGAAACAACATCTATATTATTATTTTATCTTTGAAGACATACTTAGGACTCTCGTGGTCTGGAGGTTACGGTGTTTGCCTCTCAAGCAAAAAGTTCCGGGTTCGAAGCATGACAGCGACGGAAACATTTTCTTCTGTAAAATTGTCTCCTTTCACTTCATTTCCTGCTCTCTAACCATGTTCTGTCGTCTGCTTTCGTCTCCACTTTCTACCCCCTCCCCAGCCTCCCAATCCCTTTGCCACCTCCTCTGGGCCCTTGATTCTTTCCACAGCCTTTCTACTGCTACTCTTTGGCTCCTTCTTACTGCTGTCTTTCAGCAATATCCCTGATCTTAGGGTAAGTAAGATCTAACACTTAGCCTTCTCGGATAAGGGCGAAAGATCTTGGAGGTCACGTGTGCAAGTTGCGCAATGTAAAGATCCCTTGAAGGTACAAAATCGATATGAGTAGGCTTCGGCCGCCACCCGGGCAACATTCAAAGTAAATGTCTACCAAACTAAAAATATTTACTGCGTCCCGCGCGCTCATATTATTATGACCGTATGTATTTGCGAGCGCAATAAAACACTAAGACTTACCAAAACAAAAGATACTGTTACAAATATATTTTCGTATTTTTTAAAATTGGATTACATTTATAAAAGAATGCCTCTTTCTCTCCCTCTGCCTTGTTGTGATTCACTTTCCTGAACTAATCTCTGCATGTTATTCTTGTTTGTTCTATCTATTTTAGCCTTCTATTTCAATCTCAGGAAGGTGAGTGGTTGGCGGGTGCTCTGGTGTGGTTTGCTCCTTCTTTGCTATTAAACATCTATCATCCTTATCTCCCCTTTTTCTTTTTTTATGTTTGTTACTCTCTAGTAACATCTCTAATCTTCTGGCACTCATATGACCTTATGCAGTTGCGAGTGCCGTAAAACCTCTACTAAAACTAAACTAAAGTCTCAGCAAGTAAAGATTCTTCCCGGCGGGGAATCGAACAGAGAAAGGGGTAGAAAGTGGAGACGAAAGCAGCCGCTGATACCGACAACTTAGCACGGAGGTTACACTCCCTTTTACGGACGTCGGAAGGGCTGCACTGTTGCATGCAGGAGACCCGAGTTCAATACCCAAATGGGGATAATAATAGTATTCTTACTGAGTACAGCAGTTTTCCTGTTATAACAACAACAGTGCGCGCACAAGTCACAATGCCAAAAGGTGAGATAAGCAAAAATCGGTAAGACCAGAGAAAGGGGAATGCTATGGCAAAAAGTGGTATAGATATAATATAATTACGTATGTACCGTCAAATCACATATTATTATAAATATTACTGTAAAAAGTAACTAGTAGTTGTAGTAGTAGTAGTAGTAGTAGTAGTAGTAGTAGTAGTAGTAGTAGTAGTAGT